CGGTGTGGGCGCGACACTGAGGGTTGCGATCCGTTGCCGGACACGAAAAAAGACAAAAAGGAAAAAAAAAAAAAAGGCCATGGAAAAAATAGAATTAAAAGGTAATACAAATCTTTCCATGATTTTTTGAAGACCCCTCATATTCTTCTTCTTAACAGGTTAAGCAGGGAGCTTACCAAAGTAGAATCCTAGAGATGGCCGTATTAGTGCTTCCAGAAATATGACCTTAAGACTACTGGAAATTTTCCAGTCCATTTGAGTTTCCTCAAGGAAAAGAAACAGTTGGGGCTGAGGGACCAGGAGTAGGAGACAAGAGAATAGGGTAAGAAATAAAAAAACTGAAAGATATGGAGTCCTGAGTGGAGGGGATCACCAGACTAAGGTCAGCTTTCTGATGTTCAAGGTCATCAGAATTAGCTTTCTGATGTTCAAGGTCATCAGAATTAGGAAGTTGATGAATGGGCTTTAGATCTAGAACTGCGTAAAAACTCAGTTGTGTGTGAATTTTTGTAGAAGTATACATTTGGAAGGGGGGAAAGAAGGAACTTTAATCATATGGTATATGGATATAAATAAAAAAGTCCATGCTCCCTACACTTAAGAACCCCTTTACAGTCATTCATTCAATTAACAGTGATTGAGGGGACATCATGTGCTAGGCATGTCAGGAGCTAGGGCTGTTGAACAGGACATTTGCAGTCCTTGCCCTCGTGAAGAATCCAGTCTAATAAAAGATAAGCATTAAATAAAAACTTATACATGTATACATATCTAAAAATTACAATAGAAACGTTGCAAGAGTAGTAGAGGAGAATCTAGCCTAGTCAGGGAATGAGTCCTTGAAGGCCAGTTAAGGGATACTTGAAGGGTGAATAGGTTATTGTCAAAGAAAGTTGGGAGAGGAAGAATATTCGAGGCAGGCTTTGTAAATTACCAAATCTAGAAGTAGCATGGCGTGTTCAAGGTAGCCAGAAATATTGGAGCTTAAGGAGAAGACAAGTGGCAGGAGGCTAGGGAGGAACCAGGAGTCAGATCATACAAAGCCTTACAGGCCATGTTAAGAATCTGGTCTACATCCCAGGAGCAACTACACACTGCTGAAGGGTTTTAAGTAGACACAGAGGCTGTTTGACTTCGCACCAATTTAAGAACAGAGGTCCTTTGCTCCCTGACCCAGAAGAGGATTTAGACCATGAACTATGGTGTTTAAATATTGGAGAGACACCAATTGAGTTTCTGAAACCTGGTGTTATCTGTTAACCAGGGTTTAACTTAACTTAGGGCTTCTAGAATAATTGATGTGTTGCACATTATGCTCTGCCATGATGTCAGATGGACAGCAGTTCCCAAGGTGCAGTTGTTAAGAAATACTGAGCTCTGGCAGGACTGCTAAAGCCATCCCATGAGACTCCTGTGTCTTCCTTCTAAACCCTTATAAACATACTCTTAGTTAATGCATAGCCAGGAAGCAGCGCTGAGGAAACTGGGCTTTTGTACTGTTCCTATTTGTCAATCAGGTCAACTTTAATCATTTACATTTACATGACTCCTGTGTCTTCCTTCTAAACCCTTATAAACATACTCTTAGTTAATGCATAGCCAGGAAACAGCGCTGAGGTAACTGGGCTTTTGTACTGTTCCTATTTGTCAATCAGGTCAACTTTAATCATTTACATTTACACATGCCACTGATGTTTCTGTTAACAACAGACCACATATATCACAATGGCCCCGTAAGATTGTAATGGCTGTACCCATAGCCTAGGTGTGTAGTAGGCTACACCATCGAGGTTTGTGTAAGTACACTCTGTGATGTTCACACGATAACATCACCTAATGACACATTTCTCAGAATGTATCACTGTCATTAAGTGATACATGACTATATTACTTAATCTCAACAAAAGGCCATTTTATTCTTCTCCAACGCTGTGAGGTAAATAAGACAGACTGATGAACCCCCCCCCCACACACACACACAGCCATTTCTTTCAAATGAGGAAACTGGAATTTGTGTCCAAGTGGGCACAGTGGTTACGAGCTGGTCCTTGAGGCAAGAGCTGTGTTCAGAACCAGGGTCACCTGCTTCCGAGCTAGATGCCCTTGGGCAAGTTCACTTCACCTTCCAATTTAATTGCTGAAACATGGTATCCCCATATCTCAGGTTACTAATATGGCCTTTCGCATTTATTTTTCTTTTTACATGAATTTCTTGTGTATGTATTTTACCTTCTTTGATTGAGCTGTTCGTCTTTTTCTCAATCGTGTGAGTCTACATCTGTTTTAGACTAGGAAGCAAACAGATTACTATAGTTTCTCAATCTTCAGACCATGACAAAAAAGTACTTGTGATTAGCAAGATAAGTCTCATAAATAGTTGAGAAAAATAGTAAATGATCTCGAATGTATAATATCAAATTGTAAAAATGTTTAAAGTTTGAGAAGACTGGTAAGGATATGGAAAAGCAGGTACTTTCCAACACCACTGACATGAAGTAATCAGTTCAAGGTCAGTGTGATCTTCTTGGAGGGCAGTTTGGCAGTATCAGAATTGAAAGCCTATTTACTCTTTGACCTAATTATTTCAATAGTAGGAATGCAACCCACAAAACTACTTGCAAAACCATTTCATACATATAGAAAAATTTTTGCTGAAGCAGTTTATAGCAAATAACCAGAAATAACCTAAATATCAAAGAATGGAGCACTGGTTAAATATATTGTGGAACATTGGTAAAATCAACTATATGTTAAAAATAGTAACATGAATTGTGGTGACTTGTTAACTGAAGAAATGTTACATGAAGTACATGAATTTGGGGGAAAAGTGCAGAACGTATACCAGTGTGTACATTAAAACTTATTTTTTTGAGGATAATTATATAGACACATGCTGAAATGTACATTTACATTTTCTTTTGGAAGAAAACACAAGAAACCGGTAACTGCCGCTGAGGAGACTGCAGGAAGGAAGAAGGTATTTTCTGCCTATACTGTTTGCCTTATCTAACCATGCACATGTATTACTTTTTACATCATTTTAAGGTCAAGAGGATAGCTGTTTTCCTTCTAACTTTTGTTTTACGAAATCTTATTTTAAAATGAATTTTAAAACCCTGAAGTTTGGGCCGGCCCCGTGGCTCACTCGGGAGAGTGAGGCGCTGGTAGCGCCAAGGTCGCGGGTTCGGTTCCTATACAGGGATGGCCGGTGCGCTCACTGGCTGAGTGTGGTGCGGACCACACCATGCCAAGGGTTGCAATCCCCTTACCGGTCAAAAAAAACCCCTGAAGTTTAAAAAATTTCTACCTACCTCATCTGCCCCCAAAGATTACATAAGATGTTTCCCACAGTGTTTTCAAAGAAATGCAGTGAAATTTGACAAAAGGCCCAGCCCTGTCTAGCACTGGTCAGGCCTAATTCTGGATCCCCTTCTCCAGCAGAGTCCAAATCACAGTGTCACACACCTTCAAAACCTCCTTTCCCTTCTTTTGGTACATCAGATGGCATGAAAAAGTAGTCTTCTTGCCCTCCTATCTGACACCCTTTCCCTTTGGTACTGATTCTATATGGATAACACATCAGAACAGTGAGAGGTGTAGGCTGTTTCTCAGCCATTGTATGGTGCCTGCACACGACTGCATCAAGGGGGAAGGTCTTCAACCAGCTTCTTCAAAACCTCATTTTCAGGTCGAAAGGACCACTTGTAATAAGCCTGCTTTTTGGTCATGAAGACTTAGCCTAAATAAACTATTATGATTTTTTTTAAAAGCCTCATGTTTGAATGGTTGCTCCTGCTGTAGTTTTAATGGCACACATAGAAACACGGACCCTCTGTATATTCCTGCATCAAGCCCCAGCTGGTTGGGGAAAGGGCTACTCACCCTTGGAGGCTGTTGCTTGACTTTCCACATTTATGAAACTCAGACCCAATAGGGGAAAGTATCTGGAGGCCCAATTTGTGCATTCAATGTTTTTACTTTTATTCAACTACAAGCAAACAGCAGAATTAACATGACATTCAGCAACTCCAGACCAGCTTTTCTTACATCAATGAAGAGTGATCAATTCAACAGTCACAGACTTAAGGATTCTGTCACCTAGCACTGCTGCCTGTCTAGATGGTCATGCCTCACTCAACAACAGCAAAGCCAATCTCCCTAATGCTTTTTACAATATTGCTCTTTACAGGAGCCAGAGTGGTATAATGACATCTATTACACCATCCGAAATGTACCATGTTGGAATTTAGCTGCAACGCTAGCCTCTGGCTGTCTTGGTGAGAGAGAGCACTATGAAAACATGTCTGAGAGATGACATCGTGTACAACACTGGACTCAGGAACACAAAGGCAGAGGGAATGAATCCGTTGTACCATGTTGGAATTTAGCTGCAACGCTAGCCTCTGGCTGTCTTGGTGAGAGAGAGCACTGTGAAAACATGTCTGAGAGATGACATCGTGTACAACACTGGACTCAGGAACACAAAGGCAGAGGGAATGAATCCGTTTTTTTTTTTAGACCTCACTTAAAGATTCTTTGATGCTTTGCTCTTTTACTGTAAACCTGGTCTTCTTACCTGGATTTTTCTTCTTTAAATTCTGGGCTGCTATTCTTACACTCATATTAACAATTAGATGGCCCCATCACAGTACCAAAATATCCCCCAAAATGGAGCTCAAATCTGACCAAAACATAAACTGGGGTGTGTGACTATCTAGAATTTTGAAGGACAGGCAGCAGGAAAAGTCACCCTAAGCCACTGTGAGAATGGGGTCAGTAAACAGGGGAAATCTACATGCAATGCTGAACTTGAGAACACTGCTCAGGCCTCTGGGACAGTTTTTGTCTCCAAGCTTTCCCTTACTTCCCAGACAGCTGCTCATACAGTTTAGGCACATAGTCATCCCATTCAGCCTGGTAACATGAGCCGGCCACCGGGGGTCCCAGCTCATACTTTTTGCGGAAGGACGCCACCTTGAATTTGCCACGGTGGTCTCCAGATCGGTTGCTGAGAATAGGCTCATCGCACTTCAGCAGCCTGTCCTGCTCATAAACCAGCCAGATGTAGCGGTGGAGGCCTGCAGAAAGAGGCAGAAGGGAAGACATACACACAGCTAAGCATCTGAGACACAGACATCACCCATTTTCATGGAATGTTTCAACTTGAAGGGACACAGACCACCCTATTTATCAGGACACTGAAGACCCAGAGAGGTAGAATGAGTCAGGTCACTCTGTTGCTGAAAATCACCCAGTGGCTTCCTGCTGCAATTGGTGTCAAACCCAAACCCTTCATTTGGCCTCTAATGACCTCCAAGATCTGGCCTTTGCCCACCCTCAAGCTCCACCTCCCACCTCTCTCTGCTCCTCATTCATCTCACTCCAGGCTTCCAGCCTATCTCAAGTCCTTTCCACCACTCCTATGAAAATGCCCATTTTACTTGTCATCTATGAGAAACAAATGAAGGACACAGCAAATCACTGACCAGGTGCCAGTCACACCACAATCAAGCCTACACAGGTGAAAAAGAACATTACTGCTATGGGCTGAACTGTGTCCCCCAAAGTTTCATGTATTAAATCCCCACTGTAACAGTGTTAAGGGCAGGGAAATCCTATGATCGTAATCGAAAGGGAGGAAACCTTTTCAAGTTGATTAGATTGTGAGGACCATGCCCTAGCGAATGGATTGATCCATGCATAGAGTAATAAGTTGACAGTTTAATGGGTATGGTTCTGATGGCTTTATAAGGAGCAGATTAGCTCTCTCTTGCTCAGCCACTCTCACCATGATATGTTCTGGACTTTGGACTTCGCAGCCTCCAGAACTGCAAGAAATAAATTCTATTTCTTTATAAATTAGCCAGTTTCAGGTATTCTGTTATAAGCAACAGAAACGGGCTATTATCTTCCTACCTCCAAAACTTACTTCCTTAGAAGACTAGAGACCTGCTTTGAAATGACCCAAACTCACTTTAAACAACTAAGTAGCAAAAATGTTCTAAAACTAGTCAGCAAGCACCCTATTAACTACACACTTTTCAACAAGCTTCAATTTAAGTACGGGACAAAAATAGATACCATAAAAATTTATTTTTTTAAGTTATTTCTTAAAAAGTTATTTAAATATTTGTACACACATGCTCATTGCAGCACTATTCACAACAGCCAAGAGACGAAAGCAACCCAAATGTTCATTGATGGACGAATGGATAAACAAAATGTGGTATATACACACAGTCAAATTTTATTCAGCCTCAAAAAAAAAGACTGCATATGACAACATGGATAAAATTTGAGGACATTATGCTAAATGAAATAAACCAGTCACGAATGGATAAACAAAATGTGGTATATACACACAGTCAAATTTTATTCAGCCTCAAAAAAAAAAGACTGCATATGACAACATGGATAAAATTTGAGGACATTATGCTAAATGAAATAAACCAGTCACAAAAAGACAAATACTGTACGATTCCACATATGTGGGGTATCTAAAGTAATCAAACTCATTAAAACAGAAAGTAGAATGGTGGTTGCCAGGAACTGGGGAAGGGAGAAATGGGGATCTGTTTTTCAAAAGATACAAAGTTCCTGTTTGGGAAATAAAGAAGTTCCAGAGGCCTGTTTCATAACAATGGAATATAGTTAACACTACTGAATTGTACACTTAAAGATGGTTAATGCTGCTAACACCAAAGTCCAGGGTTGACCCCTGTACCCTCCAACTGCCAAAAAAGAGGAGGGTAAGATGGTAAATTTTATGGGTTATTTAAAAAGCAAAAAATGAGTGACTCACAAAAGGTATAGGAATGGTCAATAAGGACATAGGAGGCTCAACATCATCAGTCACCAGGGTGATGGACAATAAAACCATACAATGTTACCATTTTACACACACTGGAATGTCTAAAATCAAAAAGGCTGATACCTAACCTTGGCATGGAGCTAAATGGATCTTATATAAATGTACTGAAACTTTCATATATCACTGATTAGAAATAAAATTTCCAGGGCTGGCCTGGTGGCGCACTGGAGAGTGCGCTGCTTGGGAGCGTGGCGGCGCTCCCACCGAGGGTTCGGATCCCATGTGGAGACCGGTTTCCGCTCACTGGCTGAGCGCGGTGCGGGCGCAACACCGAGGGTTGCGATTCCGTTGCCGGTCAGTAAAAAAGACAAAAAGGAAAAAAAAAATAAAAAAGAAATAAAATTTCCAACCATTTCAGAGAACTCTTGGATAATTTCTACGATCCAAAAATTCTTCTCCTAGGTATTGACCCAAGAGAAGTGGAAACACCTGCCCACAAAATACCAAGTATACAGCTACTTTATTCACCAAGTACTGGAAACAACCGAAACGCCCATCAACATGAGAATGGCTAAACAAACAAATGGCATATTCACACGCAGAATACTTAGCAATAAAAAGGAATGAAGTACTGATATAAACAATAACCTGAATGAATCTCACAGACATCACCATCATGAACAAAAGAGACAGTCACCAAAAAAAAATGCATACTGCATGATATGGCACTTCTACATGAATACAAGAAGAGCAAATGTAATCTATGGAGAGAGGAGTCAGAAAATGGTCAGGTCTGGGGGGATTTAGTTAAAAAGATCACACAAGAACCTTCTGGGGCTGGGCCGGCCCGGTGGCGCACTGGATAGTGCGCCGCTTGCGAAGTGCGGAGGCGCTCCTGCCCGAGGGTTCGGATCCCACATACAGACCAGCTCCCGCTCACTGGCTGAGCGAGGCGCAGGAGCAACACCAAGGGTTGCAATCCCGTTGCCGGTCCCCGGTCCGGTACGGGGGCAACACTGAGGGTTGCGATCCGTTGCTGGACACGGAAAAAGAC